CGATAATAAAACGTACTGGTTAAGGCAAAAATGTGTCCAGGGCAGTCAAGATTCGAACTTTTGAAACAATAGTGGCACCAACGGTGTCATATACGTTTAAATCCTGAACAAAGAATCTGAAATAAAAAAATTAGAGATTTGTGAGAGGAAAATCTTAAGAGAAATTTTTTAATGGTATAAAGGGGGCTAACGGAGATTGGCGCAGACGAAAAAACCTGGAGTAAATGGAAATCTACACCTAATCATATATTGTATTAGAATGGAGATATTAAGAAACAATTATATAAAATAAAAAGACTAGCTTATTATGAACGTTTATACGAGCCGATTTAGGATGTTATATAAACAGAATTACAGAATGGAGCCAATATAGAGATTTAGGAGACCATTTAGAAATAAATTAGACAGGACAATGGAGAAAACACCTACAATATAGATATATTAAGGATATACAGTGCTGGAGACAGCAGTTAAGAAAAGATATACAAAAAAGTGCGAAAATCTGCAGATGTGGTGGTGATTCTGGATCCTACAGTATTATAAATTATTTCTAATGATTATAGAGGTTTTTCAGTTTTAAGCCCAAAGATCTAAATATAGAAAATTAAACGTGGTATGATACTCGTCTGTAATTTTTATATCAAACAAAGTGTAACTTAGTGTTTATTTTTGTTAGTTCTGTTTTGATATCTTGTTTTTAGAAAATGTTTTTTCATTTAATTCTGTGCTGTACTTTTAGTTTGTGTAAAAATAATTTTTAATTTTTAACTTACCAATATTAAGACAGAACGTGAAGATACATCAGCCTCCCATTGATTTTGCTTTGACAACAAAATTACGTCCGTCTCTGTTAAAAGTTTCATAAAATCATTTAATTTGTTCTGTAAATGTTAAAAGTGTACCTATGTTACTTAATTTTAGGAAGTAATTTTTCTATCCAGCAAAGCCCCTAATTTCGTTATAAGCGAGTATACAAAACTGACTTCGATAATTGTCAGGAGATATTTGACGTAACATAGGGAAGGGAAAACGAGAGAATTCAAACTTTTTGTAATTTGATTGGGTGGAAATACATTCAAAAAGGACATAGTTAATGAAGTAATTCTGATAAGTAAGTTATCCTTTATCCCTTTCACGTTAAACAGTGAATTTACTGTTAAACTACCAAAATAACATCACAAAATGCCCTTCACAGCAGTCGAAAGAGCAAGAGGTATATATTATCTGGGATTTTTTAACCGGATCCACCCCTAGACTTATTAGCAAGGTGGTTTATTTTTTATTAATAAAAGGTTTTTGCAAGTAGCAGTTTTAAAAATTTTTTTTTATTATTAAATTTGCAAATTTACAATCTGCTATTACAAGCTATTAGTAAATGTGATTATTGCAAATACATGAGAGGAGAAATTATCCATTAATAATACTCCTAATACTAACACTAACAAATCAAATTAATGTATGAGTATAATTTAAAACTAAAATTAAAATGAAAAGTAAAATTAAAATTGAAATTAGTGTATAAAGTCTGTTGGCCACTGTCTCTTCAATCTTCGTCTGACTTCTGTTGTTGGAGGTGTAGTTGTCTTGCTTCCTCGTTGGGGTGGGTTGGCAGATGTTCTAAATAATTTCTTGTTAGTCTGCTGATTTCGTCTTCAACGAACGGTATACCAGAGTCATCATGCAGAGTTTTGTTACTAACGTACGACGGAGCCTTGAAAATCATTCTGAGTATTTTGGATTGGATTCTCTGAATGATTTTGATATTAGAAGGCTTTGCACAGCCCCATAGTTGCACTCCATATGTCCATATAGGCTTTATTATACACTTATATAATAGAAGTTTATTATCTGTTAATAACTGTGATTTTCGGCCTATTAGCCAATTCATTTGACGTATTTTCATGTTGATTTGGATCTTTTTGGACAAGATGTGTGCTTTCCAAGTATGTTTTTGATCAAGTGTCATTCCCAGGTATTTGACTTCTGTTTTTACTGGTAGTAGTGTATTGTTCAGTCTGATTCTCGGACATATGATGTTCCTATTGGTGAATGTAATTTGATTAGACTTATTATGGTTAACTTTGATTTTCCGTCTATTCATCCAGTCTTGTATTAGGTTCAGGTGTATTTGAAGGTTTCCTGATGCTACTTGGGAGTCATCATCGATGGATATTATGGCGGTGTCATCTGCGAACATGGCTACTGTGGTCTTATTTGTTGTTGAGATATCAGCAGTGTATACGAGGTACAGGAGAGGACCCAGGACACTTCCTTGAGGGACACCGGATTTTATGGGATAGTAATGAGAGGTTCCTGTAAGGAATTTGACTTGAAAGTAACGTTCTGTGAGATATGATTTTAAAAGAAGATAGTGAGGGGTGGGAAAGGATAACTTAAGTTTATATAGGAGGCCGTCATGCCAAACACGGTCGAAGGCTTGTTCTATATCCAGGAAGGCAGCAGTGCAAATTTTTTTCTCTTCGAGGCATACATTAATGTTTTTATATAGAGTACAAGTAAAAGATACATATTTAACGTTAGTTGTTATTTAAATTAATTTCAAACTACACTTAAATTTTATTTTTAAACATTTTATTTAGTTTATATAAAATTAAGTTTGCTCTCAAATGATATTTATATTTTATTATTAATTTAATATTTAGTCGCACTTTGAGGGGTCTGTCAGAAATAAAAGCTTGTTTATACGTTAGCAGGTAGAGTTAGGAGCAAATATACCAATAATTATTTATTCAATTATTATTACCTAAATATTTTTTTTTATAAATAATAAAAGTACTTTATTTAAAATTATTAAGTTTAAATTCAAAGTTAAAAAATAATATTTAAATTTTAAAAATACATAAAACTAGTATGAATCTTCGCGCTAATTCACAGTAAAATCTACTACACCACCTTTTTTGTAATAACTCGAGAACGACTAAATCAATTTGGCTAATTTTGATTTTGAAATATTTAATAAAATCCTAGGAAGATTTAAAAGGTAAGAATATATGATGAAATTAAAAAGAAAATAGAAGACGCAGCTTTATTTTCCCAGACGCAGAAAACAGTTTTATGTTCCCACACAAACAGTTAAATTATAGTCTTATACAAAATGTATTATACGACTTCAACTCTATAATTATATTAATAATCTATAATTATATTAATATTAGACACAAGTAATGTTCAATTTTTTTATACAAACAATTATACTCTTAGGAATTTAGCATTAGAACGACGGAGATGGTTATTCATTGGAGAAGAAGTGAAGTTGTCCATTCTGAGTTTTCTAGTTTTTGTAATCATCCTCAACAATGACATTGAGCAATTTCGTGTCACAATACTTAATTCATACGATCAACAAATAATTTCTTTATCCAACATTTCTTCTTTTTTTTTCAAATGATAAGGATAACAAGCACAATACTCCCATTTCCCTACTCCTAGTTATATTTTGCATAGTGTTTACTCGATACATATTTTGGTTAAGCGATGTATCGTCATGAAAAGCTATGTATCGTCATGAAAAAAAACTATAAATGAAGTTGGACCGCTAGTTGGATAGCAAGTCAGAGCGTGAGTGGAGACGAATATCCAATTAGTAGTCCTACTAAGTGGGACCGCAAGTTAGAACGTGAATGCTAAGCTTTAACAAATTAAACAGTCTGTTAGAAAACATCGGTAACAACATACATAAAACTCCAATAGAATAAAATCCAAATTTGCACAACAGTTGTCAATCTATCCACAAGACCGTTGAATGTAACAGAGAACTTGATGCTCCCATAAGGACTAAGTTATACATTTACACATCCATCAGTTCCCAAATTACACATAATAAATGAAGTTGAAAAAGTCTGTCAAGTAATACCAATACAAGAAAAGAAAGAATATAGAGTACTGAGCAAATAGAAGCAGGAAAAAAGCACTAAGCACTAAATAGAAGCCACTATCCGAAGGAAATTCAAGAAATTGTCACAAATAGATCTTACACAAAACTAATAAAGGATCCAAAAAAATCATTGGAAAAGAAAATATACAAAATACTGCACAAATTTAAGAAACACCTGACAGACTGTCAAAGAATAATACTAACACTACACTGCAGTAGGAAACCACATCGATATTTAATCCCAAAAATCTACAAAGGAAATGTACCCCTTATACCAATGTGCAGCAGCATGGGTTCTCCTTCCAGCAGAAGCAGACTGTATAAGTTCCTCCTAGACAGAACACAGGCTTTCAAGCACACAATACAACAACATACATTAAAACCTCACAAAAATTCTTAAACAAAACTACTACTACTAAATAACTTACCAAATAATACTTACCAAAAAAATACTGCCAGTTAATGTACATATTACGTATTAATAAAAAATTGACATATTTGCAATTAGTTTTCTAGATCTGGTTCAGGCAAAACAAAAACTAGAGAGAAACTGTTTTTATAAGGTCTAAATTATTTTATTATTTAACAAAAACCTTCTGCATCGAAAAATAATTACACAGTAAACTCAAAGAAGTGATAAATTTAAGTTTTCTTTAAATCAGTTACCCAAGAAGGGAAGTCATTATTTTCAACTATATCTTACTAACGATCTGTAGTAGATCCAAGGGTGACACCAAATAAATTAGTTCGAAAAGAAAAATCACAATGGGGGAAGTTTTGTGGGGTATACAAGTTTTGGAACAGTATTTATATATATATATATATATATATATATATATATATATATATATATATTTATATATATATATAGACATATATATATATATATATATATATATATATATATATATATATATATATATATATATATATATATATATATTAATATGATCCGAAAAGGTATAGAATGAAAAATAAAAAAATGATAAAAATGCAGCAAAAAGAAACGAAAACGATGATGAAAGCACATCAAGATAAAATTAGAGAAGAAAATAAGAAAATAACGAGCCATGTAGAAAACAAATTAGAGAAATATTAATATGAAATGAAAGGTTATCTACAACAAATACAAAAGGAACTCGATAGAATAGCGGAAGAAACAAATTTAAAACTAGAGAGCCAGAAGAAGGAAATAGAAATTTTACATGAACACATAGTAACTGTGGAAGATAAAACACGCAAAGAGATACAAGAGGGAAAAGAGAATATTGAATGGAAACTGGAGAGAGCTTTACAAGAAGGTAAGGTCTACACAAAAAAGGAAATTAAATAAATCCAAAAGACAGTAGAAGAAATAGGAAAAAGTGCTTTTGTTCGGGAAAATCAGAAAGTTATCATTCAAACCTCTAGTGACATTAAAATCAAATTTAGCGGGGACATAAAAAGACAACACCCAGTGACTTATTCGAATAATTAAAAATAAATTGCAACACCGAAGATTTTGAAGATTGCAAAGAAGCAATAAGGAGTTGTTTAACGGATGGAGCTTCACTGTGGTGGGAAAGCAAGGAAAACACATTAGTGTCATGGAAGGATTTTAAAACGAAATTTTTGAAATATTTTTGGGGAAAAACAAAACAGATGGAAATTAACAATGAACTACAAACTGGAAAATTTGATGAAAGGAAAGGACTATCCGGAGAAAGATACGCCCTACAGATTTATAACAATGCACAACATTTAGAATACAACTATTCGCAAGAACAGTTGGTGGATTTGATAGCGCGTCATTTTGATGAGACCATGGAAGATCATGTGACGCTACAAAACTACCATGATATAGACAGCCTATGCCAATTTTTACAAGTGCGGAAAACATGTAGAAAAGAGAGAAAAGAGCGGAGAAATCACGAGGGAAATTGAACAACACCACATATGAATAGATTCCAAAATAACAATCAAGTCAATTTAATAATAATTATCGACACAATCGATTCAGGGATAATAATGAATACCATAGACAAAATAGAAATGATAGCATGTATAATCACAACCGACCAGTAACAAATGGAGGAAACACGAAAAATTATCCCAACACTAATAGGAGCGGGTAATACCATAACAACAGGGATGACCGAAATGGTTTTGGAAACAATAGACCGCAAAGAAGAGACGTAAATTATATAACAACAGAACGCAATGAATATGAAGAAGAGATCCAAAGTGATAGACCAGTAGACAACAGATCTCAAGGTTCGTCTTTTTACGAAAGTGCCCACTAAATAAGAATCAGAGCAAAGTTGATGGATTTATTAAAGGTAAAAAAACATATACTCATTGATACGGAACCAGAAATTTCGTTAATAAATAAGCGTTTAATAGATGAATTGAATTTAAATCAGTTTATATATAAAATTTCGAGAGTTACCCTTGTGGGCGCGAATAATAAGAAATTAACGGTTATTAATCAGGGTATAGGAGTCAAAGTTAAATTTCAAAATAATTATTATTTTATGAACTTTGTTGTGATTGACAATATGAAATATGATATGGTGGACAATATATATTTTGCGGAGATATATGTTCAAATAGACAAGGATACAGTTAGAATAAAAGGAAAATTTTTGGATGATAACGAAGACAAAAAATGTCAATAAAGCGTGAACCTAGTAAAGGTGCAGGAAAGGGAAAATGATATGAGATCGGAAAAGATTGACATGAACGAAAAGCCTCGAGATTATGAAAATAAAAGAACAGTGGAGCATTGGAATAGAAATACCTGGGTTGCACCGAAAAAGGTGGACTTGGAAGAATTTTAAGCAATATAATGTAATAAAAATGGAGCAGAAGAAGTAGACGTGGAAATAAATTTAGAGAATTTTAAACAAAAGGATTTGGAAGAAATAAGGAATTTTCAAAGCGAATATGTAAGTAAAGAAATAGACGAAATGGAAACAACAGTTATATTTTAGAACACTTAGAGACTGAAAACATTATAGGAATATTCAATATTAATGATATATACAAGTACCAAGAATAAAACAAACCTACATCAATTTTTTTTGTTAAGTAGATACATGGACGGGAAATATATATATTTTTAGTGAATGGATGAAAGATAAATTGGCGGGTATAATAAAATTAATGAATAATAGAGTTTGATTTTTTTTAAAATTGTTCTTTGTTTATAGATAAATTGAATATAAACATCAAAGGCAGGGATGTTGATATAATTCCAAAAGGTGTATAATGAAAAATTAATAGAGAAAGAGAGGAAGACACAAATTTTTTGTAAAATCATGTTATAGTTATATCATATTTAGATTACGGTTTAATTTAGTTGTGTTGTTAAGTTATATTGTTTTGTGAAGAACAATTCAATTTTAGATTTACGATAATTTCCTGACTTATCAAGTCAGAAGTTAATAAAATGTTATATTGAAATATCAAATCTACCTGCATTTTTTCAAGGATTAACTTTGGGTACCACGAAACAAGTCGGTATCAATAGAAAGTAGAAAGTCTTTGTCTGATATTTTGTACAAAATTTTGGGAATTGGAAAGTGTTGACGTTTTGGAGAATTGAGTCGAGGATGTTTGATTGGTGAACAGAAAATTATGGAAAGGACTGAGAGCCGAGAAGAATTTTGGAAGAAAAAAGGTGATCATCTGCTGTTTGGACGGGAAGGAGAAAAGATTAAATCGACAAGTGTGTTTTTGTTTTTTAAACGTGATAAAAAAATTAGTAAAAGTATGTAATTTCTGAAAGTAGTGGTTTCAGTAAGTTTTGAAAGCTAATTTTCTGGATGAAAAGGGTGCAAAATTTGTAAGTACCAATGCGTTATTATTCAAAGAGAGATTCGTAATTAAGCAGATAAGGGGAATCCCAAAAAGAGATAGAAACGTGAGTCAGTACGTTTGTTTTTGATCGACACGACTGTTTTTATAAGCAGAACTAGGAAAGGACTTTTCGGTAGAGAATCAATCATTAAAAAGTGCAGAGAAAAATTGACTGAAACGATACAATATATTGGACTAATTTTACTATTGTAAATTTTTATGTCCAAGCTATATCTTTTGGAAAACATTTGAATCGCTGAGTTGAAAAAGGTACACATTCTAAATTGGCTTTTTTGTAGGAACCAAAAAAAATTGTTTATCTGCAAAACTAAATATGGTACAGAAAATGTTTCAATTATGATCTTTACATTTATGAATTTGTCAAAGTTAATAACTGAAACATTTTCTGTTACATATTTAGTTTTGCAGATAAACAGCTTTATTTTTGGTTCCTGAAAAATAGTCAATTTGGAATGTGTACCTTTTTCAACTCACCGAATTATTTATTTCTAAGGGATTTCATGATTTGCCTAAACAGTTTTATAAGGTTTATTTTACTATTATATTTTTTTATTCTATTTCAAAATTACAATATCATATCTATATATATATATATATATATATATATATATATATATATATATATATATATATATATATATATATATATATATAGAGTGTGTATAACGACGCTAAGAATACAATTCTTTGGAGGGTAACTTTCGGGAAAGCGTCAAAACAAGGATCAGCTAGAGATGGTATAAGCCAGCTTGGTGTAGAACTTTATTCTATATGTGAAATTTTCGGTGATATGTTGTCACCTTCATCAGCACCTAAATGGAAAACCTATTATAGTACAGTGGTGGAAATCAACATTTAAAAACCTACATTGAAAATGTTCAGTTGGTCCTAGTTGTAAAAAACACTGTCACAAACATGTTAAAAATATTAAAAAATACATTTAAAATTTTGAATAAAAACATTACAACAACAGGGTAGTTTTTCAAATACAAACACAACAAAAAGTCTAAAAATTTACAACCTACAAAAACTGCAAATAGAAAAGAAGAATTAATCTTCTTTTTTGATGACATATTTCTGTCAACATCCGGGTGTCATATGTAACGAGGTTATAATTTTCACTTTTGCACATCACAACCACATGGATAAGAAAAGAAAGAGCCCTAGGCAACATAATAAGCAAGGAAATGAAGTCCCCTCTAAAGCACAGGTAGGTAATCTATGCATGTCATGATAAGTTCCCCACATTTTCCAGTTTGTTACTTCTTGTCAAGTCCTGTTGAAGTAGAAAGGAATAAATACAACTTAAGTTTTCAACATCTTTCTTACAGTTCATAGGAGAGCTGCAGTTATGGATGTAGCACATTTCTATGAAGTTTCTCTTAAATTGGTTGTCAACCCTCTTTAGTACTTGCACATTTTCATAGTTAGCAGTGTGTCCAGTATTCTTAATATGTTGGCTAAAGGCTGTGCTGGTGGGCTTCCTCACAACATCACTCCTGTGCAAAGCTATTCTTTTTGAGAGTTTCTGGCTGGTTTGACCGACATACACTTCTGAACAAGAACCACATGGAATAGAATACACTACATTGAAGTTATCCAGTTTTTTAACTCTTTCTGTCAGGTGAGTAAAGTATGTCCCTAATCTTTTGTAAACAGAATTTGCTATCACTATGTTGAACTGTCTGAAAAGGTTTGTGATCTGTGGTGATAAACCTTTAATGTAAGGCAATCTCCCATAGAACACTTCTACTGTTTCTCCTTCTAATGTTTGTCTTTGCTGTGTTCTAACTGTTGGCATATCTTGAAATAGCAATTTATTAAGAAGCATCTTAGGGTAGTGATTTTTTCTAAGAATCTAAGTAGGGAATGAATTCTATGTCCAAATAAAAGGAGCACCCATGGGTGGAGCTATATCCCCTACTTTGGCAGAAATTGTAATGAACTCCCTACTTCACTACTGTACTCAAGAAGTTGATTTCCAGTTCCCCTTCATTTACCAATATGTAGACGACCTCATATGTGCAGTCCCTGCAGACAAAATCAACTACACTCTTGACATTTTCAACTCATATAACACTCACCTACAATTCACAGTTGAAACAGAAGAAAATAATAGTGTTCCATTCTTAGACACCTATGTAACCAGACATGAGGACAATACAGTAAGGTTGGATTGGTACAGAAAAAAAACATTCTCAGGTAGATATGTGCCTTTTCACTCGTATCATCCAGACGAACAGAAGATTAACATCATCAAAGGTCTGAAAAACAGAATAAAAAGAATTTGTCACCCTTCAAACTACAATAAGAACATCAAGTTATTGTATGAGATTCTTAGAAAAAATCACTACCCTAAGATGCTTCTTAATAAATTGCTATTTCAAGATATGCCAACAGTTAGAACACAGCAAAGACAAACATTAGAAGGAGAAACAGTAGAAGTGTTCTATGGGAGATTGCCTTACATCA